CCCGGGCGCCCGCAGGAAGCGTCGGGCTCAGTCTGGGACTGCTGCTGCCGTTCCTGCTGCTTCTGGGTCCAGCGCGGGGCTTCGGGGACGAAGAGGAGCGGCGCTGCGACCCCATCCGCATCTCCATGTGCCAGAACCTCGGCTACAACGTGACTAAGATGCCCAACCTGGTGGGGCACGAGCTGCAGGCGGACGCCGAGTTGCAACTGACAACTTTCACGCCCCTCATCCAGTACGGCTGCTCCAGCCAGTTGCAGGTGGGCGACCCCGACCCCTGGCGGGACCCCTTTGGCAGGGACGCCCCAGCCTCCCTCTGTGGAGCTCCTGCCAAGTCTAGCACCCTATGCCTTGCTAGCCCGAGGGGTACAGCTCCCCGGGAGAAGAGATTTCCATCCCTACCAGAACTTTGCAGTCACTTCCCAGGGACTGGAAGCCAAAACGTTGTGTAAGTCATCTGGCCTGCGCAAGAACCCGCACTTACACCCCGCCCTTCCGTTTCTCTCCCTTGCCCACCCATGTCTGGCCAAGCCCCTAACCCCAGTGGAGTTAAGGGTTACCTGCCAAGGATTGTAGCCACTGCTGCTAGGTGGGAGAGTCCCCAGCAGGGCAGCCAGCTGCAGCTCAGATTTGGAAGGAGAGATAAGGAGGCAAAAACTTCTCCCTTTCCCGACCCTTACTCCTGACCCTTACTGACCTCCTTTCTCCCCGTAAAGGAGTGTGTGTGTGTGTGTGTGTGTGTGTGTGTGTGTGTGTGATTAAATAAAATACCACTGCACTGCTTCTGCGGGACGGCCCCTCGGCGCATATTCCCCCTTGGTTTTAGAGGTCATTGCAAGGAGTAGTTGGCTTGAGTTCTTTCTTATCCTCAGGCTTGAAGGCAGGTTTAGTGCTTGGAGGGAAAGAAAAGGCTCCAGGAAAGTGGTCTGTATATCAGAAGGGTTTCCTTCCTATTTTTAGTCATTTTTTTTAAAAAGCTTTGCAATGTGTAATGATGCAGAAATTGTTGTACAATAAGTGAAGAAAGAAATTTGCATATACAGGGTGGTTATAATCTTACAAAAACAGCCTATTCACCAGGAGTGGGAGAGCTGAAAGGAAAATTTAAAATTTTAACATTGTGTTTTGATTGGTGAGGCTAAGGGATTTTTAGAAATTTTAGAAAAGGGAGCAATTGGGGGGAAAAATAGAGGTCAGTGCCCAGGCTACAGGCTTCAGAAATCTATGGTTCTGGCTCTAAATTCTGAGAGATAAGAAACAGACATTCTGTTTACTTCCTAGCTGCATGTCTTTACATAGGTCATTTTAAAAGTTGGATTGTGGTTTTGGAAAGATGCTTGGGATTAGACCTGTTGCTGGTGAAATATCCGTTTGGAAGTTTCAGAACTTTAGAACTCGGTTATAAAACCTTAAGAAATGATCCATTTGGAAGCAGTGCATATCCTGACACCAGTGGGAATTTTGTTGGAGAAACAGCTTTTGCAGGGATATATATTTTTAATTACATGTATCCTGGGAAACAGCCAAACTGCTTTGAAGGACAGGACTGGATCCCTTTACATGCTGGAAAATAGTTACTTGTAACTCTAGACTTCATAGACAACATCTGTAAGGAGCCAAGGAGACTGTTTATCAATGCTGGAGGAATTGAGGACAGCAACTGGACTCTCCTTTGCTGGTATTGCAGTTTCAGGGACTTACCATTTACATTTCCTATTATATTTCATTATTATTCATTGAAGAAACCCTAGCCAAACAAACCCCTGTTGACCATTTGCAGTTCTTTCTTGGGTCTAAATAGTGTCTGGGTACAGTTTTTGTTCCTGTAGACTGATTTAAATTTTTTTTAAAAGAATGTTAACAAAATCTATATCTTTTGAAATGATAAAGAAATGGGGATAAAGGGCTGAGGATTTAGCTCAGTGGTTCCGGCACCTCCCTTGCAAGCACTAGGACCTGAGTTCGATCCCCTGTGCCCCCCCCAATAAAATGGGGATAAAATAAAGCACCCCCTTAAATGAGTCATTTTACTAGACTCTTCAGCTCTTTCAAATATTAGCTAAGACTGGGGTGGTCACATATACTTTAATCACAGAACTCTGGGATGCTGCACAATTTTGAGCCCAGTGTGGGCAGTTTAGCAGCTTGACAAGACCCCGTCTCAAAAATATATATATTTTAAAATTTTTCTTAGTACGTGTTTATAGTACATAGTGATTACATTCATTTTAGGAAATTAGTACATGTGCATAACATTGAAATTCTTTTCTTCCCCCCTGTTCCTTCTACCCTCCTTTTATTTTTTCAGCATCAGATTCACTTATTTTATCTTTAAAAAGGGCTAGAGATGTAGCTCAGTGCAAAGATCCTGGGTTCAGTCCCCAGTGCTGCAAATAGTTGTTAAAAGGGAAGGAATTTGAAAGTTAGCTTTGAAAAGTTTATTTTTTTAATGGTTATATGAAGAAAGACTATGTAATTCTTCACACCCATTTATGTATGGATATGTGTATGTTTCTCTGGGGACAATTACTAGAGCCATGCTAACAAAAAAATGTTTAAAAGTGATAGATTATTAGTCACCCTTGTTGGAGGTTAGAGTAAACAGACCGACACTCCCAGTAGGCTGAGTAGGTATGTACATTGCCTAGAAGTATTCACTCAGTTTTGAGCAAGCATTTGGTCAAACTTCAAGTCATTGTTTTCTCTGTTCATTTCATTACTTTTCCAGTTCTTCCTTTGTTCGGTCTATGTGCCAATGTGCACAGAGAAAATCAACATCCCTATCGGCCCGTGTGGTGGCATGTGTCTTTCAGTCAAGAGACGCTGTGAGCCTGTCCTGAGGGAATTTGGATTTGCCTGGCCAGAGAGCCTGAACTGCAGCAAATTTCCACCCCAGAATGACCACAACCACATGTGCATGGAAGGGCCAGGTGATGAAGAGGTGCCTTTACCTCACAAAACCCCCAGCCAGCCTGGGGAAGAGTGTCACTCCGTGGGAACCAATTCTGATCAGTACATCTGGGTAAAAAGGAGCCTGAACTGTGTTCTCAAGTGTGGCTACGATGCTGGCTTGTACAGCCGCTCAGCAAAGGAGTTCACTGACGTATGGATGGCAGTCTGGGCCAGCCTGTGCTTCATTTCTACCACCTTCACTGTGCTGACCTTCCTGATTGATTCTTCCAGGTTTTCTTACCCTGAGCGCCCCATCATATTTCTGAGTATGTGCTATAATATTTATAGCATTGCTTATATTGTCAGGCTAACTGTAGGCCGGGAAAGGATATCCTGCGATTTTGAAGAGGCTGCAGAACCAGTTCTCATCCAAGAAGGACTTAAGAACACAGGATGTGCAATAATTTTCTTGCTGATGTACTTTTTTGGAATGGCCAGCTCTATCTGGTGGGTTATTTTGACACTTACTTGGTTTTTGGCAGCTGGACTCAAATGGGGTCATGAAGCCATTGAAATGCACAGCTCTTATTTCCACATTGCAGCCTGGGCCATCCCTGCAGTGAAAACCATTGTCATCTTGATTATGAGACTGGTGGATGCAGATGAACTGACTGGCCTGTGCTATGTTGGGAACCAAAACCTTGATGCCCTCACTGGCTTTGTGGTGGCTCCCCTCTTCACTTACTTGGTGATTGGAACTTTATTCATTGCTGCAGGTTTGGTGGCCTTATTCAAAATTCGGTCAAATCTTCAAAAGGATGGGACAAAAACAGACAAGTTGGAAAGGCTGATGGTTAAGATTGGTGTCTTCTCAGTACTCTACACTGTTCCTGCAACCTGTGTGATTGCCTGTTATTTCTATGAAATCTCCAATTGGGCGCTCTTTCGGTATTCTGCAGATGACTCAAATATGGCAGTTGAAATGTTGAAAATTTTCATGTCTTTGCTGGTGGGTATCACTTCAGGAATGTGGATTTGGTCTGCCAAAACTCTTCACACATGGCAGAAGTGTTCCAACCGGTTGGTGAATTCTGGGAAGGTAAAGAGAGAAAAGAGAGGGAATGGTTGGGTGAAGCCTGGGACAGGCAATGAAACTGTGGTGTAAGTCTAGGCACACTCTGTGCTTTCCTCAACTTGAAGGGGAGAATGCCAGCCTTTCTGTGGAAGCGCTACTAGAAGTTTGATACAGTGAATCTCAGTTTGAACAAACTAGCAACACCCAAAAGCAACCCCCATCAATCTACCACCCATCACCCCCACCCAGCATCATAAAAATGAATTAGTTTGCTGCAGACTTTGGAATGATCCAAAATGGAGAAAAGCCAGTTAGAGTATTTCAAAGCCGTGAAAAGTAAAAATGTTGATCATTTTAGCAGGTCGCAGCTTAGAGCATAGAGGTCCTGCCTAGATGAAGGCCAGGGCGATGCTGTTTTTCCTTA